TGACACCAGCAGGCAAGAGAAAGTATTTTTTATCAAGTGGAATAGGCTGCCTCTGAGAGGTTTGGGGTGTTCGTCCCACAGGAAAAATTAAGTGTTCCTTCCTTCACTTTCTTTCTCAGTGAGACCAACAGGATGGCTCAGTTCCTCTGGGACCTCTATAATTGTGGTTACGATTTCGTAAGGGTGTGTCCCATGCGAAAGGTACCTGGTGACCCTGGTGGCTGTGTGCAGGTCTTTTGTTTCCTTTGCATACCTTGACCTTCAGGCTGGTGCCTGCAGTTACATGATACCCTTCACCAGGGGCCTGGACATGGGGGCCAGGGGGATGGATATCAGCCACAGGTCCACTCAGCAGGTTCTGCGCCCTAAGGTTCCTGGGTAGAAGAGGCCCCTTTTCTACTTTACACCAGGCTGGCATGCGGCTGGCAGAGGCCTTGTCTTTGCCTATGTCATGGTGTTATAAATAAAATTTTAAAAAACTAGGTAAAAATCCCAGCACACTCTAATGCTTCCCAGCCTGGCAACCTTGACCGGGAACTGGGGTCAGCTGCCTGGTCTGTGGCCGCTTAGCAACACCTCCTGTCCAGCCACTGTGTGAGTATTCAACGAGGCCCTCTCTACAGAGGACTAGGCTAGTGTGTGAACCAGAGCAAACGCTCCCTCCACTCATGTCCATCCCGCAGAGGGGCTCTGTCGCCTTAAAAGGCAGGCCCATGTCTCAGTGCGGTGGGACCGAGTTACAGTACTTTGATCCATGTATAAGTTGTCCAGTCAAATCCTTGTTTCACTTGATACCCTGTGGACTGTCTCTGTGTTTTCCAGGAGAAAATAACCAGGATTCTTGCCTCTTTGGAGTCTGCTCAGAACTTCATCACCAACAACATTTCCTCTGTTATTATTGATGTGAGTCTTCTTTCTTTCTTTCTTTTTTTTTGCAGTTTTTGGCCAGGGCTACATATGAACCTGGCACCTCTGGCATATGGGGCCAGCACCCTACTCTTTTGAGCCACAGGCGCCGCCCTGAGAGTCTTCTTTTTAAAAAAATAAACATGTCAATAAGTGGGTATGTGAACGTTACAGATTAAATATCCATAGTATTTATTTATATTTTTGAGACAAGAGTCTCACTCTGTTGCCCTGGCTAGAGTCCAGTGACATCAGCCTAGGTCACAGCAACCTCAAACTCCTGGGCTCAAGTGATCGTCCTTCCTCAGACTCCTGAGTAGCTGGGACTACAGGTGCCTGCCACAGTG